TGTAAACATTGTCAACTTATTTCGCAAGTATGGAGAACAGCGATAGATGGACGGACGCTGAAGTGCAGGCACTTGTAGCAAATGTAGCACGGCCAGTTGTCGTTGGAGATTCTTAGTCCTCCTTTCCGTTCTTTCAATCGCTTTACGTATACGTCAACTTTCCATGTTCATTATTGTGAAACCCGCGAGACACAACAAACACACAGCGCCGATCACAGCGTCCTCCATCCTCCTGTTGTTAATGTTGTTCTTCTTTGTTTCTGTTGTTGAACGCCGCGCACAAATGACGACGCTGTCGACTGGCTTACGTCACTTCTTAGTACACACTCTCTGTGCGAATGCAACCCTTTAAATGGTACTGGGTAATAGTTCATGCAAAATCGTTCCAGTACTTTAGTACCGTACATTTAGTTCTGGAACTAAAGCAGTGCGAAAGGCCCTTAAGAGACAAATCTAAGTACCATTCATATCAGATCTGCAGCCCAGAGTACTGAGCTCATTTAGGCCCTAGCCCGGCCGTGTCCGACAGCTCATCAGAATCACCGGCCCGAGCCCGTCTGAGCCCTTCTGCCAAAACAGCTTGGACTACTGTTTCAGCTATTAAAATAGTTCAGGTTTGTATGTAATAGCAAAGTGATTATTTCGTTTGGAGCATTTTTTGTTCGTTAAATATATATATATTTTTTAAAGTAACGACCAAGTGGCCAGCGGCAGACAGTGAGTCTATGCTTGATCAATTTAGCCTTCTCAAATCATCACGACTTGTCTAAAATAAAATGGATACATCTATAGCTATAAAACAGTTCAAGCATATAACAATGTTTAAACGTTAAACCTAGATAAATGTGCGCTGTATCCAGTAGTTTGTGCGGAGAGTGGAAGCTGAAGCACGCTTTGCAGGACATGAAGCGCGATCACTTGCATTTTTTTCAGTAGATACACAGTCATTTTTGCTCATAAAGGTAAGAGTAATACATAATTCGTAACTGTGAAGGGTCTACTTTTATTTGTGTGCACTCACAATATCAACAAAACGTTGTGCTTTTATAAAATAAAGAAAACAAACATGATGCGCTTTCTGCCGTCTCGGTCTTGAACAGGAGTGCTTCACAAAAATTACTTTACTCTTCAGCTGCGCTAACGGCACACACCATACATACTGCTGCGGGACACTAAACACCGTCGGCACGGTCTCGTGTTGTTTCCACCAGCGAGGCAATTTTTTTCATCACTAATTGATAGATGTCTAAAATATAAAAAACAAGGAGAAGCCTAAAACAGGCCCGAGGCCCGGCCCGCGTCTGAACTATGACGTGAAAATTGTCCCGAAGCCCAGCCCGAGGGGTGTGAAAAAGTCGGGCCCGTGCTGAAATGCAGGGCTCTAGAGCTCATCATCGTTATATACACACAAGTGTTTAAAAGAGTGCTGCAGGGACACAGAAGCCCAACAAACTACCTGAACCGCACAATCTTTAAAACCCTTTTAACTTCAACTGACTCCTTGTGATTTAAAACACAAACCTTTGGATTTCTTCAGTGACTCTTCGCCTTTCTTCTCTTTATTCTTTTGTTTCCTTCTCTTTCTCTTCTTTCTGCCGTGATGATCATCATCATCATCTTCATCGCTGGACACTTTCTCCACTTCATCCTGAGGGAACACCCCTAACGATGGGACAGAAAACAACCGTGAGTGACCCAAGTATAACCCGTTTCACTAAAGCGGTCACTCGTCGGAGAGCTCACCTTCACTCAGGTCTCGGAAACTTCATCCCACAGAGAAAGAGAAGATCAGACACATGGAGTTAAACCCAGCAAACACTTTTAATCACGTTCACCGTCTGCACGAGTCGCTTTTCCTCAAAACAACAAACAAAACTTACATCTTCACAAACTTGTAAATCTTGGATCTGTTGAAGCTCTGTATATTCGAGTGACTGGCCCCCTCAAAAAGACGGTCAGCTATTGCACCATAGTCGAACTGAACAAGACAAATAACATTACATACATCTACACACGATCATTTACACACATGCACAGAGAAACAAGCAGACAACCTTTGAAAGCAATTCAATAGCGCTTGTCTATCTCTCTCTAAACACGGCATAACCAAACAATTAGTTTATTTAAGCGCCAGGAGTCTCTGATCATCTGTTCACTAAAGCATCCTACTGTACTTCTGTCATGGACTGTTCAAATAAAGCAATAATCCCCGTGAAGCTGTGGTTTACAGTGAATATATAACAGCTAAGAAGCATTGTTACGACTCGAAGCAGAGTCTAAAACCCCTTAGCTGTTATAAATTCACTGTAAACCACGGTTTCACGGGGGTTACTGCTTTTATACAGTTAATCCATATACGTAGTAAGGTTTCACAAAATAAAACGGAGCAAATAAAGTGTAATGATATTAATAAAAACAGTATTCTTCCACCAAACAATGTAGCTCCTCAGAAACAGTTGTGGTTGCTACAAAGTGCTTGCCGAGCAACACACAAAGGTAAAGGTGTGTGTTTGTAGAGTAATTTACAACAGCTTCGAACGCGGCTCAGCCAATCAGAGTCAAGCACCGGAACTAGGGCTGGGTATCGATTCAGATGTCCCGATTCGCAAGCTCTCGATTCGATTCTCGATTTTTATTACATTCAGTGAATATAGTTTTAATACAAATGCTATTGATATTTCTAAAAAATGAACAGTAAACATCAGTTTACAAATGGTGAATTAAAAAGAAATTAAGCCACAGGCCTGTATTTTAAACCTATTCTTTTTTTGTATGGGTCCTTTTTTAAACAATAATAGGCTCTATAAAATGTTCTTAATTTTTCTGGTAATCAGATGAAGGCATAAAACATTAATTTAATTTATCCTAATCAAATGAAAATTAAACCCTTTTATTTTTATTTTTGCCCAGCCCTAACCGGAACTATCGGTTTTATATTAGTTTTTGCACAACACCTAGTTTGTCTGCTACGATGCTCAGGCATCTGCAGTTCATAAGAATTTAGCATTTAAAAACATTTGGGCAACAAAAAGAAAGTTGTGTACTGCACACACCTGAAGAACAGGTCCACACGTGTCGTCATCGCTAGCGTCCACGCCGTCTGAGAGCAAATACTCCTCTTCATCACAGTCTGACGCCAACGACAAAGCATCTCAATCAAAGGACATACTGACAATTCATTCAAATCATGTTTTGCTTCTCTTTACAAAAAAACCAGACGAAATGACAACGTAACAAGTGGTTGCACGCACGTCTACGTGCAAAGCGTTAAAACTCGAATCTTAAACACTGAGCCCTTGAGAAGCAGACGTCACCATGTGCGCACTGTGATCTGAGCGACATCTACTGCCAACCACAGCACAAACAAGCCTCAATTCAGACGCATAGCACATAACCCTGGAAATGTTGCAGAGGCTTCTCCTGTTCCCTGCAGTGGACTTCAGTTATTCAGTTACACCGCTGTGCCAGTGCTACGACAAACACACTTATACTAGAGCCGTCTAAATTAATGTGTTAACGGTGCGATTAATCATTTTCAACATGCTAAACTGAACTAATTTCTTCCCTGGCATCGTTTGGTTAGTGTTACAGTAGACGATATACACAAACACCAGCAAGCACGAAAAGACAGGAATCCAGCACTGGTGCGCTGTCTGTCAAATCTTTAGATTACATTTTTAGATTATGCATTTATTAATTATAGCTTATGTGAAGTTTGTTTTAAGTTTGCTTAAATTAAAAGTTATATTTCTCTCTAAAATCTTTGTAAAAAAATATATATATTTAATTTTTTTTTATATACACACATTTTTTTATTATTATTTATTTCTTTATTTTTAAGTCTACCAGGGTTGGGATGGGTTCTACATTTGCACAGTTGCTTTCTGTTTTATATTATTATTCCCAGAAAAAAATTCAATAAACAGTAGTAAAAAAAAAAAAGTTTTATTTCTCAAAGCCTACTAAATGTTAAAAACAACGGCTTTTGCTTTTACTGTAACATTGCATGGCTATAATTAATGGTTAAATTGTGGGGAAAATGCATTTAATAGAGACATCAGTAACAGTGTTGGTATCAATGATACTGGCCTTCATTAATAATAGGCTACTTCGATGCCATTAAACACGTATTTAAAGTGTTACAGTGTAATTATACATTTAAGTACTGAGTAATATTAATTAACTACATGTACTCACTATATAGTTAGGGTTACTTGTACTTACTATTATAATAACAATAAATGATGCATAATTACATGCATGTACCAAGGACACCTTAAAATGAAGTGTTACCATTTCTTTTCTACTGGTATTAGCGCGTGTACCTTGGGTTTTCCGTGAGCTTTCTGAGAGGGCTTCAGTCTTGGTCTCTCCAGTGTCTTCACTAGACTCCAGTTCTGCGCTCTGACCGATCTCTCTCTGCAGATCCTCGATGGCGTAAGGAACTTGATCAACGATGGTGTTAAAGATGTTGCTGCCGATGGCCTTCAGCAGGACCCGACTGAAGAGCACACAGGATATATACATATATAGTCTCATTTTTAACTAAGATTTGTGTTTTTATGCATTTATCATCTGAATGAAGCAGGGGATGTCATACTCTTTGGTTTTGGCCATAGTCTTGAAGAAAGGCTCAATAAAGGTCTGGTTCTGCTCTGCTGTCAGCTGGAAGAGAGAAGCACGAGATCAGCCTCATTCATACACAAACACCAGAGTAATACAAAGTATTTCAAGCTCTGTATTATACTGGGGTTAGTCTGACAAAGCTGTAAATCACAGTAATGAGAAGCAGCTTGAGAAACAGGACTAACATGAAGCTGGTTAGACGAATAAGGCTTCTCGACACGCTCTAGTCTGGTGTGACAGATCTCTGTATCTGCAGCAACACTTCATCTGTGAAGCTAGAACCATGTGAAAACTAATCGAGGATAAATCTAAAGTAGTTCTGATACGTGTGTGTGAATATTCAAGCACAGAGAGACTGCTAACCTGCTTGTTTCTGCACGTCTCTGAGTGGCGCGGTGTTATCTGCTACACACTGAAGCACGCATGACGCTAACGGTGCTCAGCGTCTACATGAACATCAGCAGAGCTGCTCTGAGAGGAGACTTTAATAATCATGTCCTCGTTTTACTTGAGAAAAACATTGTCAAATACACAGGTCCGCCACAACCCGTCAAAATATACTTCGACATTATAACATTAATGTTCTTTATAATTAAATAATTTAAGCATCGTTTTCAAGGAATATCATGTTTGTCCATGTTTTAACTTTGGCAAAAATAAAAGGAGTTGAACATTTTCCGTTTGATAACATTTAAAACATTAATTAAAATATTAAAGTGTGATATAGATATACAGTAGGGCTGCACGATGACGACAACAATCATAATTGTCGATTATTCCCTTGAAATTGTAATTGCGATAATTACGATTATCACAATTTACACTGAATGATGTTTATACCACTGTTTGATGCAGCTGCATGCCGTATTTTTCAATGAACACAAACCAGCTGAAAGCACACTAACTGAAAAACCTTTAGTGCTGTTCTATAGTATTACGCCGCAAATGTCAACTATACATGGGATTGCTTTCTTTAAATGATAAAAAAGTTAAAATATGAATGGTATTATAATGTTATATTAAAACTAAAACAATGGGAAAACCCTTAAGATAAGATGTAGAAAGAAAACGCATCTTAAGCACGCAGAATAACACAAGTGGACTTTGAACGATTAATTGCCGCTTTGAACGATTACGTAATTGTGGCATCCACACTTGTAATCGCGATTAGAAATCTGATTAATTGTGCAGTCCTAGTGTAAAGCTTTATTTAAAAAAAAAATGTCATTAAAATGGTTTCAAGTTTGTTGTAATAAAGGATTTGTTCACTCAAATAACTTGTTCTTTTAAGAGTCATTGTTACTGATAAGAATTAGTGTTTAATATATACACTGTGATATTTTCAGAGACGATTATCATACCGTTACAACCCTACACAGAACACAAAACTACGCTTCAACAGCTAGGTTTACATGCAGCCAAATAATCGCTTTATAATGGGATGCACGGCTCAATCAGAGTGAAATGTCTTCATGTAAACCCCTCGGTCCATCAGATTTGAGCACCATCTCAACGTGATAATCTGATCAGCAGGAAAACTTCTTCTCAATGTATGTTTATTTACATAAACTAGGCAGTGGAGGAGACTGGATTCATTCAAAAGAGCATGTAAAGCAATGCATTAGTGCAAGAACAGCACCAAACATCATAATGCGATGACTTTTGATGCCACAGGCGTACCTCAGCAGAGCCGACGAGGGCCAGTTCAGTCAGATAGAGGTCGAGAGCGTGCAGGAGGAATCCGGCCGGAGCTGCGCTGGAGCTGTGCAGGAGCTGAGCCGAGAAGAGCTGCAGAAACTCACTCACCAGCCTGCAGGAGGAGCACAGGCCGAGATCACGCTGCGCTCGCAACTCGAGCTCCTAGAAGACCATTAACACCCAACACTGCTGGCCTACCACTTCAGCTTTTGTTCGGTTAAATAATCTAATTCAATCACAAATTACTCGCATATCAATTTGGGCTGAGAAACTTGTTCAAGCTCTTGTTCTGTCCAGGCTGGACTATTGCAATGCTATACGTGTCAGTATATTACATTCATTCGGTCTTGACTTGTCTGACTATAACAGCACAGATTGCCTGATTTTGCTCTATTTCGTCAACAAGAATAGATTCAAACAGTCACAGCTAAGCGTTGCACATCTCCATTCAAACACAATGATTCAATCACACATTCATAAAGACAGTCACTTGCTTCGTTCCTGAATGAATCAGCCGTTCGAACGAATCAACTGAATGAATGACTCAGTGATAAATTCAGTGACTTGCCGCCACCTGCTGGCGGATTTAGTTAATTTTTAAAGCATCATTTCAGTTATTTAAATCATTGACTATTTCTATATTCAAAATGTTATATTCAAAACATTAATCTCAATATGAATTTAATTGCACTCACGCCGCCTCATTAAACGTCTGGAAATATACCTACAAACCACTTGTGTGTTCTTCTGTGCAAATTAATCTTGGTAATACTGAGTTTATTTGATCGGTAACTTATTCTTTTGATCACATTGTTTTAATTAGACATTTTGAAAAAAAGCTTATAATAATACTAGGGATGTTAGTCGATTAAAATTTTTAATCTAATTAATTACAGGGTGCTGTGATTAATCAATCTAATTACTCGCAACCTAAATTTGGCAGTGAAAATACCCCCAAAAGATCATTTAAAGCTATTTGTGTTAAATGTTTCGGCTACAATGGCCTAACAAAGTATGGAACATAAAAGATGATTCGAGAAACATCTCTGCATTTTTGTTCATGCAATGAAAGTCACTAGTGGCCAAAACAGCTTAGTTACCAACAGTCTTCAAAATACCTTTTATATCGTGCCAAAGAAAGCGAGTCATTTAGGCTTGAAACACCATGAGGGCGAGTAAACGACAGAATTGATTTATTTTTGGTGAACCATACCTTTAATGTTGTTGTTGTTGTTTTAATAAATGAAATGATATTCTAAAGAAGAAACCAAAACTACCAGCAGCTGGTGGTCATGTCTTTATGAGTCGATTCGTTCAAACGCATGATTCTTTCAGGAATTCAGTAAACGGCTCACTCTTTGAATCATGCCTCGTTTGAATCACGATTCGTTCAAAACACGGATTCATTCAGAAACTAAACATGGTCATGTTGCTCGGAGACACACAACAACTCTGCTGTGGCTTTATTGGTAATATTTTCGTTGGCAAAATTGAACAGAAAGCACAATATTTTGTTTACATTTTGCACAATATTAAGTTCTTATTTACTGAACTGTTGTATAAAATCACATTTGCACTCGTGTTCTTCGTGACAAACACAGCACTCGTGTGATATTGCTTATCATATGATATAAATATGAGAAACTCATACAAGGGCATTTTTTGCCACAATATCTTGAATTTTAGGGCATAACTGCATTTATGGAGTTGTTGCTCTGCGTCATATTTTGTGAACAGTCAACTGTATGAAATGTAAGATGATCTACATGTTTGGGTGCGGGGCCAATGCGTTAAAATATTTTAATCGCGTGATTTTTTCATAACTAATTAAGTTAACGCGTTAAACTGCCAGCCCTAAATACACTTTTGAAGTTGCCAAACAGCTCAGCAAACACTGAAGAGCGTTACCTGGACTCCCACTGCTGTCTCTTCAGCATCTCAAACACTTCTCGGAAAACGAAGCGCACGAGCTAACAGAGAAAAGACAGACAATGCTGAGATTTACAAAAAACTTGCAGGTAATAATGCATGTAAATGATTCCTCGGGTACACAGATACAGCAGATCAGAACTGACCTGGAAGTATTTGTCCATTCGCAGTCTGTCGATGCCGTTCCACTCTCTCTTCATGGTCTGAAGAAACGTCTTCAAATACAGGAACTCTACGGTTCACATCCACACGAGAGAGCAAACCACAGACATGCAAACAGGTGAGTAGGGTTGGCTATCGGCTGGGTTTTTCGCCAAATCCATACTTTAAGACAATATTGGCTGGTTAGATGGCAATGCTGAGCTAAAATGTTTGTCCTCTCTCTCTTCACCGTTCCCACATCTCAGACCTCAAGTGCATAAAGTATTACCCTTTTAGACATAGCTTTTTAAGAGTAAAGAAAATACTGTATAAAACTTACTGAAACAACCAGGGGCCAGTTGCATAAACTTAGCCACCGTATTAAGACTGTGTCTTCAGAACTAGTTTGACCAACTAGCAGCTGCCAATGGGTAACCAGTCTTACTCCTCCAACACAAACAAGACCAATCTACCTTTTCATAATTGAATTTAAGTTATGACCAGTCTTGAAGAACAATGATTAGATGACTAGGTTTTTAAGACTAGTCTGAACAGTTTATGCAACTGGCCCCAGTTCTTTATTTAGTTTCTCGTACCATAACGAGATACTTCAGAAGACAGAAAACCAAAATACCTACAAGCCACTGTATGCCCCAGAACTCACTGATCTTCTGTCGTGCATGTGTGTGTGTGTGTGTGTGTGTGTGTGTGTGTGTGCACTGAAGCAGCTCGGGCAAATGACAAACTACCAACTTCACATGTGACAAAAATTATATAGTGCATTGACTTTGGCTGCAGTTATTTATGAATGCATTATTGTAATGCACTGTATGAGCACATGAATAAATGTAGTTATAACAACAACTGTATATTTATTTATTGTTATACCTTTAAAAAAAATGCATTAAAACACAACACACAATGTCAGATGTAACATGGAATCTGCATATATTGTAACACACCAAGGCTTTAAGTAAAGCCAAACTGTCCTGTTCATCACTAATAGAAAGATACAAGGTTTTCTGTAGTTCATTTTAGGCACTTGTTTGAAGAGTTGTACATGCGAAGCAAGAAGATGTGCAGACCTGCAGATGGATGTTCTTGTGCTAGAGCTGTAAATGTGAACTTACGGCTGTCGAGCGTCCGGAAGCTGTGGAGGAGCCTGGAGATCTTTGTGGACAGTTCCTCCTACAATCCCAAAAACACAGACCGGTTACTGACAGTGTGTGTGTGAGAGTGAGAGAGTGAGTGTATAGTGTGTGTGTGTTAGAGGTCTGCACAGGCTTTAAACTGAAGCCCGAACCCGACCCGTACCCGAGATCGTCTGACCCAGCCCGACCCGACCCGAGCGGCACAGTTCAATTTAGAGCCCGAAACCGAAATCTTTTTTTTTCTTCCCCACAACGAATAGCCAATTTTTTTTTTAAATGCTGTATTTCACGATTGCATGCAACAGTCAGTAAACAAATACATGTAAAGAACCAGAATCATTAAGTCTCGGCCAGTTCACAAGGCAAAAGAAAAAACACTTAGCAGTTATGAAAGTTTATGAACATCAGGTGCCTCGGTCACAAATTCTGCTGAGTTTTTGAATGGTTGTATACGACAAGACGATCATTCTTCCATCATGCAGAGTATGCTCATTTTCGTCAGTTAAGGCTCGTTAGCATTCGGCCTGCTTTAAATCAGACACAGAGATGCAGCTCTGTACAGTAAGATTGAATGCTGTATTTCACGATTGCATGCAACAGTCAGTAAACAAATACATGTAAAGAACCAGAATCATTAAGTCTCGGCCAGTTCACAAGGCAAAAGAAAAAACACTTAGCAGTTATGAAAGTTTATGAACATCAGGTGCCTCGGTCACAAATTCTGCTGAGTTTTTGAATGGTTGTATACGACAAGACGATCATTCTTCCATCATGCAGAGTATGCTCATTTTCGTCAGTTAAGGCACGTTAGCATTCGGCCTGCTTTAAATCAGACACAGAGATGCAGCTCTGTACAGAAAGATCGCATTTATTTGAATTAGCGAAAGAGAGAGAGAGAGAGAGAGAGAGAGAGAGAGAGAGAGA